CCCCAAAACCCCAAAACCCCAAAACCCCAAAACCCCATAAGGTTGAAATTAGAAAAGTATAGAATGAGAATAAAATTTGAGGAAATATAGATAAATAACATTAAATAGAGTCCAGTAGTCAGTATTATGGTATTAATTTTTTTCCCTTAGATAATTTAATTAATATGAAATTTAGACGATGTCGGATAAATATACTTCCTTCAGTAGACCTTACTGCTCAAGTGTTTTGGAATATAATCTCAAATAACATTATAAACAAGAACTTTTTCTACATATTTTTCATTCTCAATTTTGTATGCTGGATCTTGCTTGCTCTAAGATTTTCAGTTCTCTAAGAAGAATTTAAAACTTTACTCGTCTCCAACTGGGAAGTAAATCATGCTATTGTGAATAATCAAACCATAATTGATGACTCATAGTTGAAATCAAGTATTAAAGCCTCATTTAATTATGGAGTAGTAATGCTAAGTCTTCAATTATTTACAGGTTTATGCTTTGTATAAACTTTTAGACATTTCTCACGGATTTCAAGGAAAAATTCAACAATGATTCAAATTATGCTAAAATTTCTAAATGTCTTCATCGTATTTGAAAATACTTTATTTTCACCATTCATGAAGTTACTAGCAGTAATCCCTATTATACATATTAAAAAATTAGATTCAGATTAGGCTAAATCATAGATTGTAATATCATTTTTTATTTTGCTATTTCGAACTTTGAGCTTTTATCTATTTCAAAAAACTCTAGTTCTAAGGTACGAGAATAATTTGATACCTTGGTCCAAACCAAGTCATCATGCTGTAGTACTTGACTACTTGTAACACACTCTCTTGATTATTTTTATTTGCTATTACGATATAAATCCATTAGTAATGACATTATTCTAAGTAATCCTATTTACATTAAGCGCGGTTAAAGTTTATCTTTAGATATAGAAGCCATATTTTTATGATAAGAAATTAGCATTATTTAAACTTAACATGGATATATTCAAATGTTCTTATTTTTTATCAACTATATTCGTTCAAATGATGAATTTGGATAAAAAAGGCTTCTCAATTGTATTCATCCTTTCAGTTATCACTATATGCTCTAGCGTAAATATCATAAATATTAGATAAGAGGAAAAGCTTATAGTTGATGTCCTTAATAATGAGATTACAGATACATACTAATTGGAGAAAGCCATATATTTAATGTTAGACTTGATATTCAGGAAAAGTAATAATCACTTAACGAATGAATATGATGGATTAATACATGCTTTTGAAATGAATGAGGATCTCTATGCTTTTGGCAAGAATGGCTATAAGAAATCTCATATGTAAACACAAATTATCAATCTTCAGCCTATGGCATACACTTCAAGACTTGAATAATTCTATCATGATCATATTTAATCACAACTAGAATATTTGAATAAAAAGCCAGAGGAAGAATTATAAAATTCTGATGATCCTAAAAAGGACATTTACAATCAAAAGAATTAGGCTAGTATGTACTTCGGTAACACAACTCTAAATATGTTGATTGATAATACTATTCCAATTATAGGAATCAATTCTGCTAATGAAATTTCAAATACAATTGTACAGGAGACTATTAATCATACTCTTGCTGAAAGTTTTAATTATGAATCGTTGAATAAGTAAAGACTTAATGAGCTGGATTAAGAACGAAGCAGCGGCAGAAATATGATTGATAAGATCAGAGACAAGGAAAATAAGTTAAAATAGGAGAAAATTTAATTTTTAGCAGACAATCTTCTAGTGCCATTTTTAAGAGAAAACCCTGACAACATTTAATTAATGTTTCTTAAGTGCTATCTTTCACTTATTCATCTAAAAAACAGATTCATTTGCTTGACAGTAATTACAGCCATAGAAAATTTGAATTAGGATTAAAGATATCTTGATTAAATAGAGAACAAAATCTCATAATAATACTTTCTAGAAATATGCTTGGCTGAACAAGCTAAAGCAAATGACTAAATGGATTCAAATTACTTTCTTGATTTCAATCTTAGAATTAATGATTATTATGATTTGCTATTAAGTGGTTCCAAACTCATCAATCAATTTTGGTCTTTACTAAATTCTTAGAATAGCTATAAACAGATTTTGAAACTTGAAAAACTATCACTAAAAATATCAGAAATCTTAAGATAAGTGAAGTAATCTATAAGTAAAATAGAATAGGAGACTCCTCTAATGTAGGTTTCAGAGTAGGTGCTATTTTACACTGCGACATTTTATCAAATGGCATTAAGAGATATGTATTTAAGTGATTACTACTTCAAGCAAATTACATAGAATAGATCATTAATGGCAGTTTAAAATATTAAAGGGAGCTTCAGCAATTTCGATGAAATTTCTTTAGCTATTGTGGATGGTAACTTCTCAAATATGGGCAGACTTTTATATGCAAATAAAATTCTACTACGACATCTTGGGTATAAGCAAGAATAGGTGTTATAACAGACAGTTCATTTGCTTATGCCAAGAGAAATTGCTTTAGTACATGATAAATTTTGGAATCGCTTTAGAGACACAGGAATACCTAGCATCCTTGAATAGCAAAGAATTCTATTTATAAAGGATAGAAACGGCTACGCTCATCCATTTAATATATTTATCAAGTTCATCTATCATCAGAAATACGGCTATACATTTCTTGGAATTTTTAAAAAGCAAAATAAGATGATTATGACCGAAATAGAGAGTCCTATTAGATTGAGCTAGATATTTTTCTTCATTACTAACTACTAAGGGAAAATTACAGAAATTTCAAAAAGCTGTGAAAAGCTTATAGGTTTAAATCAGCAAATCTTTGAGCACCTTAGTGCATTTTTAGAGGAGGGCTTACATCCACACCATTTTAATCCAAATCTATCTATCAGTTAATTAGACTTCTCAAAAAGCCCTTGCGTCCTCATTAATAAAGCAATTATCGAAACTTCGATTGTATTTAGACACACGAAGGAATTAGAATTTGAGCTAGATTAAGAAACTCGTAGCAGAGTAAAAAGCAAGATCTAAGTTCAAATTAAGATAATCAAAGAAACATATGGCTAGAGTGATGTTACAGTCTATTACTTTTTGTTTGCTGTTATAAAAGATCCTGTTATGTAAACAGTAAAGGAAGGCATTTTTGACAAGTTATTCCACAAAAATCACGTTAATGATGAAGGTTTCGACTCTTAAGATTAATACAACAAATTTACAGAATCAATGGCAACTAGGAGTCTAATGAGTATGAATCAAAATATGAACTCGTAATCAATATCTTCTTGCTCAATGTCAGCGGTATCTAATGGATTTGATGAATTAAAGTACTTAGAGGACAATATTGACTATACCAAAACACCTTAATCATTATTGATAGTTAAACTCATCTTCAATACTATTATTCTAATGATCATTGCACTAACAGCAGCTCTTCTTGTCCTCAATTAAGTCTAGATTTCCCAATCAATATCTTAGATTAGTGTTGTCAAAGTAGCAAATTAAAATATGGTTTTATTGTCTGAGCTAAGCATTCTGACTAGAAACTACATTAATATTAATGATGGATTGGAACCTGGAAACAGTTCCTATTTTTCTGATAGAAAGAAAACTGTACTCCAATAATCACTTGACATCATTGAAGAAATGAGAATAAACTAGAAACTCTTAGAATTTAAAGATAAAATAAAAAATAATGATGGGGAGTAAAATTCAACAATAATTAATAGTAAAAACAATAATGGACAAAAACTACAACAGAAGCTCAGTTTCAATTATGCATTAAATCAATATCTTGTAAAATGCTTTGATTTATATGGATTTCCATCCTTTTAATCTAAAGAATTATCCTATCTTTCGAAGAGCACTGATGCAACAGGTATTTATGACTCAACTGTTTACTATATAATTACCAATTAAAACGGAGATCTAAGGACAATGACCTAGGAGAGTGCTTTGACGCAAGGTCAAGATATCAATGATAAAAATATAAAGTTTATTGAAGTTAATAGAATTTTCATGATCGTTGCTTCTTGCTGTATTTTGATAGGAGTGATAGCAGCACTATATTTCTACTCAAAGATTATTGATAATCAATCAAAAACTTTAGCATTCTTTTCAGAACTAGAAAAGGATCTAATAGAGTTTTGCATTCAGGGAAGTTTAGGCTTTTTCTAGTTTTTAAGCAATGATAATGAAGAAATTATAATATTGGATAGTGAGATCATTAATTAAAGAAAAAACATAAGAATAAAACAATTAGAGCAAAAGCTAGCAGAAATCTAGGAGCAATAGAGGCAAAAGGCAATACTTTCTAATAGTACGAATCCTAATGCTCTTGAAACTTCGGATGTATAATTAATGCAAAAGAAAGGAAGAGAAGAGACTAAAATAAATTTAGAGGAAATAAAAGATGAGGAGGATGATTAGCCTACTAAATATAAAAAATAAATGGAAAAAGTTTTTAATACATCTGTATACTCTAAAGCAGCAACATAGCAAGTAAGAACTCTTAATCCTCATAAGTCAACTCATAATCTTGCTGAAATATTATAGAATTAGAAAACAGCAGCAAAGAACAAATTCAGAGAGCTTGATAAATAGATAAAAAAGATAGACAATGATGGAGACAGTCATAGTAACGTTAGTGAGAAAGGCAAGAAATACCGAATTGAATCAGATTTGAAGGCTTCTACTAAAACAATTAAAATCAATTCTGACGATCAAACTTTGAATGTATTCACAGTTAATAACAGCTAAACCGACTTGAAACAAATATTTATGCATTGGAAGTTCAAGAAAATGGCCGTATATAGTGTCTTCTTCCTTACTATTTCAGCCATTTTTGTTTCCTACTTCCTTATTTAATACATTATCGTGGAAAAAGTCCACGTTAAGATGAAGGATCATACTTAGCACTTATCCTAACTTTATCAGGGCTAAACATGCATGAATTGGTTTGTTTCCGATCTGAGAGAAACTTAAATCAGGAACTATTCAAGCTTCAATCCTCGATCATCTGACATGTATAATGAATGCACATAACAAGCAGCTAATTTCAATCTTTGGCTCGGAAGTTAAACTGATAATGATGAAATCATATCCTTAAATAAAAAGCTTTCAGCTGAAAATAAGATATGCGAGATTATTTTTGCTGAATACTAAATCTCCAAATAGAATTGCTAGAATATTTATTAAGGGATTTTTTAGAAAAGCTTATACTAAGTTTAAATAGTATTCCTGCATGACACTCTTTAGTCATAAATATAATTTACTTCAAACAGAGGAAGAGATGAAAAGTTCTTGAATTAATCAATGAGAGATCCAATTATTATTGATATGATTGATGGAAAACAACAGTATCTGTCTAAAATTACTACTATTGTGGCAAACACAGTGCATGATGCACTTTCTGCAGATGAAAAAGCATTACATATCCAACAGCTTTATGTCTTTGGGGTGTACATATTTGCACTTATTGCTACTTTATTGATTTTGAATTGCTTCGTATTCGTTCAGATGAGGAAATCTATATGGAATTCTAAAATAATTTTTAAGTTACTACCGATAGATGAGTTAGATATATCCTTTAAGAAAAGAATTCAAATGTTTCTCTTCAAACCTTGATAATTTCAATTAATTTCTTGATATTTAAATTTATTACAGTATTTTGTATGTAGGGGTTTTGGGGTTTTGGGGTTTTGGGG